GAATGGCTCATTAAGGAACCCTTAGCTCACAATACACCAGGGATCTCAAACTCCAGGCCTGCAGGTCATCCCCAGCCAGAGCAGTTGCGCAATCCAGCCTGGGAATCCCAGCGGGCTTGTTCCTTACTGTTCCCCAAGCCCTGCCCCTTCCTGCCATTGCCCTGCCCTCTTCCCACCCCACAGCACTCCATTCTCAGATGATCTGACTTTAGGTGGGGCCTGGTGTGGAATGGCAGCAGCAGTCAGGCTCCCTCATACTCTCTGCAGGGGCAGGAGATGGCCCATGGGCTGGGAGTTTGAGATCCCTGCAGTAGACACTGGAATGCACCTGTCCTATCTACAGTTGACTTAATGGACTTTTCCTAACACAGAGTGGGGAGAGGCAGGGCAAAGATGCTTGAGGACCCCAGAAAGAAGAGACAAACAGGAGGGATCCTCAAGCATCTTTGAGGAAGCAGTTCATCTTAGGTAGGGACTGTCCCTTTCTAGGGCTCATCTCGAATCTCTCCCAGCCCAGGTGGTGCTAGCGTCCCGGCTCTTCTTGGCCAGTGACTCAGTGCATACTCAAAGGAGCCTCCCCACACCTGCTCACCTTTCACTTTCTTCTGGCACTTCAAGGGTGGCAGCAGAGGAACTTTTACAGCAGTAGCACAGATGCCCCAAGACTCACCTTCAAGCTTCACTACTATACCGTCCTGAGTTAGGCTGAGTCTGGCTTTCCACTGGGCCTATAGAAGCGAGGGGCAGAGTGGGCCTTAGGGGGGATGAATGAGCCACAAGCAGCTGAGAGGGATGGGCAATGGGCTATGGGGAAAATGAGTTGGATATTGTACAGAGATTCTTCTAGTCTCGTTGATTGTTGATTTCTCCCTTGCAAGTGGCAAAGATCGGATGTCTGCTGACTTACTCACAAGTCTGCAGCATTTGATACCTGTGGCATAAGTAACATATCCCTGGCTGGAATGGTTTTGTTCTTTCCTCTCCAAGGGCATGTCTAGACTACATGCCTCTGCCGACTGAGGCATGTAAATTAGACATACCGACATAATCAATGAAGGAGGGATTTAAATAAAAATGGATGCACATAGCACACACAGTTCTATGCCTCTTACTCTTTTCCATCAAACCCAGATGTCACCGCATCTTTGCTTTCCTAGTTCCTGGAAGAGCAAGACATAAATACAGAATCATAAGGTTGAAAGAGACCTCAGAAGGTCATTGAGGGGAGGCTGAAGGTATGATCATAAAAGCTGAGGGTTATGATCATAAAAGTAAGATCTGTCACAACTAAATCATCTCAGCCAGGGCTGTGTCAGCCCAGGACTTAAAAACCTGTAGGGCAGTGTTTCTCAAAGTGGTCCATGGACCCACTCTGAGAAAACTGCTACTGGGCTGCTCCACTTTGTTTACTTACTGGCTCCATAGCCAAGGAGCCTCATGGCTTCCATTGGCTGCAATTTCCCATTTGCAACCAAGGGGATCTGCAGGAAGTAGTGGCCCAGGTCATTCTGCTTCCCACTGTTCCCCTTGGCTGCAAATGGCAAACCACAGCTAATGGGAGTTGTGAGGCTCCGTGGCTGCAGAGCCAGTAAGTAAACAAACCAGAGTGGTCCCGTAGCAGCTTTTTCAGAATGGGTCCGTGGATCACTTTGAGAAACACTGCCCTAGGGATGGAGACTCCACCACTTCTGTAGGTAACCCGTTTCAGTGCTTCACCACCCTCCTAGTGAAATAGTTTTCCCTAATAGCCAACCTAGACCTCCAGTTTGAGACCATTGCACCTTGTTCTGCCATCTGTCACCCCTGAGAACAGCCTCTCTCCTTCCTCGTTGGAACCCCTCTTCAGGTAATTGAAGGCTGCTATCAAATCCCCCTTCACTCTTCTCTTAAGTAGACTAAATAAGTCCAAATCCCTCAGCCTCTCCTCATAAGATATGTGCTCCACCCCTTAACCATTTTTGTTGCCCTCCACTGGACTCCTCCAATGTGTTCATTCTTCTGCAATGGATACAATACTCCAAATGTGGCCTCACCAGTGCCAAATAATCACTTCCATAGATCTGCTGGCAATGCTCCTGCTAATGTACCCCAATATGCCATTAGCCTTGTTGGCTATAAGGGCACACTGTTGACTCCTATTCATCTTCTCATCCACTCATCCCCAGGTCTTTTTCTGCAGAACTGCTGCTTAGCCAGTTGGTTGCAGTACCAACCTGTAGCTGTGCTTGGGATTCTTCCATAAGCAAGCTGGATGATGGACAGAGGCAGCCCGTGACTATAGGTGGACTCGGCTGCTGCCTAGGACACCATCTTAAATGGGGCGCCCGGGGTGCCCGATGCTGACATCTGTCCATTGACGGCCCTGCAGGCGGGGGCGCCAATCGCATGTTCTGCCTGGGGCACCAGCTGCCGCAGCCCACCTCGGGCCACTCCTGGTGGTGGAAGCTTAGTTTGCCCAAGATGGAGGCACTTATAATGTGTTAAAAGAAAGCAGGGAGATTATCCTTCCCATCGTCTTTCATTTAAGAAATTTCCATTGTGGGATACTTCTAGATTCTCACTGACATCTGGAAGTACAGTACAGATGATACTAGGAAATCAGATAATCATTTAACAACTGCATCTATTCAACAGACACACACCAGTTATAAAATTATCACCAGATAATGAGGTTCTGAGATGGGACACGAGGAGAGTGGGGGGGAGGAAGGTTGAGGGCAGGATGGAATCACATGAAAGGTAAGGTGTGGAAGGCCCTGGTGTCCCTCCCATAAATGCAGTCTTTTGTATTAATTAACACTTTCTAATGAGACTTTTTATAAATCAAAGTCCTCTGTGTGCTGCATGCTGTTATTACAGACATCTGTGGCACTTTCATTGGAGGAAAATAGGAGGTTGATGCTTTTAGATAAACATTTCCTCTCCCCTCACAAGTTGTTCACTGTTAAGTCTCCCTGGGCTGGGGTGGCAAGTTTGTAGAAATTTTGTTGGTGCCCAGAACTCACTTCTTCCACCTGCCTAAGGCTATGGGAGGAAGTTTGGGTGCTGGGTGCAGGCTCTGGACTTGCACAGGGAATTGTGGTGTAGAAGAGGTGAGGTATCAGGCTCTGGGAGGATGTTTGGGGGCAGAAGAGGATGTAGGTAGAGAGGTGGCATATAGCATTTATCTAAGGCACCTCCTCCGGCAGTAGCTTCTAAGCAGGGGGGCACGCTGGCAGGCATGACTCCCGCAACTCTCACTAACAGCAGGGGCACTTGAAGCAGGTGGAAGGCTAGGTGCCACCAGGGGGAAAACCCAGCCCCAAACTTTGTTGAAGCAGTACCTCTGAATATTTCTGGGGCCCAGGCACCCTGGGTCCATATAACTCCCCACTCTTGGACCTGACACTGTTACGAGCAGTTGGCAGAGAGTCTCCTGTGGTTCTAAGGAGCCTGTGCTTTTGGCACTGGAAGGGAATTCTAGTGTCTGCCAGGTGTTCAGTTTTTGATCAAAATGCCAGGTTGAAAGTAATCCCTGATGGCTCCAGACAACACTGCTGACCAGACGGTTAAAAGTTTGGTCAGCAACGCTGTGTGGAAATGCAGGTTCTGAGCATCTCTTAGAAGCAGGGGCATGTCACCCCCTCCAACTCCTATGCATACAGACAACCAGGGAGCTCCACATGCTGCCCCTGACCCAACAGTTGACCCTGCAGCTCCCATTGGTCAGGAATCACGGCCAATGGGAGCTGTTGGGTAGCACCTGGTCCTGTGGACAGGGCAGTAAGCAGAGCTACCTGGCTGGATCTCCACCTAGAAGCCAGAGTTGGAATGCGTCCCTGCTTCCAGGAGCTGCTTGAGGGAAGTGCTGTCTGGAGTCTGCACCCCTCAGCCCACTCCCTGCCTTCAAACCCAGCCCCACCTCAGTCTGCACCCTGGGCTGGTGTCCTTATCTCTGTACCCCACCTACCTGTCCCACCAAGGGATAGCTCAGTGGCTTGAGCATTGGCCTGCTAAACCCAGGGTTGAGAGTTCAATCCTTACAGGGGAGGGGCAGTTAGGGCTTTGGTGCAAATCTGTCAGGGATGGTACTTGGTCCTGCTATGAGGGCAGGAGACTGGACTCAATGACCTTTCAAGGTCCCTGTGAGATGGTAGATGCCACTGCAGCTCTGTGAGATGGTAGATGCCACCTGCTGAATCTCTTGGTCCCAGCCTCTATTCTCTCCCCCCAGCTCAGGGTGGTGCCAGTGCAAGTGGGGAAGCCTCGCTTCCCAGCCCGGGGGAGGCCAAAATGGGTGGGGCTGCAGAGCAGGCAGCGGTTAGTGTCCCCGGGCAGGGCCATTTTCCTGGCACCCCGGGGGGCGTCTCCCAGGGCCGGAGTCACTGGGGCGGGGCTGGCACTTCCCCTCTCACCCCTCCCCCTCCCGCGGAGCTGGGGCGGGAGCAGGG